AAATAAATAAATAAATAAATAAATAAATAAATAAATAAATAAATAAATAAATAAGATACACCCAGATTTTCAGCCTCTTTTTTGAGGGAAAAAGGTGTGTCATACTCTGAAAAATACGGTACGCTTCCAACTGAGGTGCTTCTGTTTCTTAATTGTTTATGTCTATTTTGCTACCACTCCTTTCCCAGCTTTCTCACAATTTCTTGTGATAGTCTAGGAAAAGGGCCACTCTGCTGCTACTAATAATGCCTTCCCACAAGAAAAAATATTTATATAATATTAATTCATTTTAGCAGCTTACTTTAGCTACATACTATCTTTGTGTACTCCTAAACAGGGTATATAGTTATGATGTTGGATGTCTACTATTCTAAACATTATTTTCAGGGATGAACATGAAAACTCTATACAGAGTGTTGAGTAAGAAGACTGAGACTGAAATTTTAGTCAGATTAAGTGTCCAATCCATTACTTTTATATTCAGGAAGTTCAAGATTTTTAGTCCAGGTCAATTGTATACATGGCACTTTGTATATTTAATCTGGAGGTTTTAATATCTTTATCATTTTAATATGTTTTAATATTTTAATTGTATGTATGTATCTCTGTGTGTGTGAATACATACATACATACACACACACACACACACACACAGAAAGAGAGAGACATTAATTTAAGCCAACCTGAGTCATTTACTGAGATGGGTGGCTATAGAAATTATAGTATAGCCTTTATTGTCATTGTACAAAATAAATACAACGAAATTGGTTAATTTAAATGAATGAATGAATGAATTAATTAATTAATTTTCTTAAAGATTCACACTGTCAAATTCTACAAGCGAAAGTTATCTAAAACCTAATGATCCCTTGAGATTGGGTCCATTGGACAGAAATAATGCATAGTGTTAAAAAGAGCTTAAAGGTAAGAACGTATTCAATTCTACAACAGACTGTCTTGCCCTTGGAAGTTTGTATTTATTTTTTTAAAAAGCTCCTAAGCAATCCAGAGATTGGTGGATTGTTGCTGATTGGAAAAGAACACCGATGCACTACTTAATGGTAGGTTAGATAATCTTCCTATACTGTAATTTTACTGGATTTATGTTATCTTAAACGTATTGAGATTTTAACACGTGAAAGCTGAAGACCCAGAAGACATGATTATCTTGAGATAAGGGCCCACAATGATTTACACTGTTTACCTTAAACTTAATATCCAGGAGTAAAATAGAAACTATTTAAACATTGCAACCAAAAGGTTTCTAACCTTAAAATACATTTTAAAATTCATTATAAAGTACCATAAATGTCTTCCAAAGAAACAAATATTATGGCTTGTTCATGACCTGTGAAAATTAGCCAAATCTGAACCTGCTGTACATGGCTCATGAAATCTCTTCTCCCATCTCTATTTTTAACACTGCCGTCAGTGATTATAAGCATTTAAACCTGATTAGCATTGCTGAGCAGTTAAAACAAAATGCTAACATAAGAAATATAAGCTACTCTTCTTATAGTAAAAAGGCATGCAAGACGTAGTAATCTTAATTAACATTTTAGATAAGATTTTGAGGAGAGCATTTCTATACCCTAACATTTAAACAGTAGCATAAAATAAGTCCATAGGACCACTATTAGATTAAAAATGCAACCATAATTTTAATGGAGTAAGGCTTACTTATACATCAATAAATCTTGTTCCCATTTACTATGCTTAAAAAGGTAAAGGTTCCCCTCGCACATATGTGCTATTCGTTCCTGACCATAGGGGACAGTGCTCATCTCCGTTCCAAAGCTGAACAGCCAGTGCTGTCTGAAGACGTCTCTGTGGTCATGTGGCCAGCATGACTAAAAACCAAAGGCGCATGGAACACTATTACCTTCCCACTATTTTTTCTACTTTGCATTTTTACATGCTTTTGAACTACTAGGTTGGCAGAAGCTGAGACAAGTAACGGGAACTCACTCTGTTATGTGACGCTAGGGATATGAACCGCTGAATTGCTGACCTTTCTGATTGACAAGCTCAGCTTCTTAGCCCTGAGCCACCGCATCCCTTTACTATGCTTAACATAATGCAGAAGCCGGTCATACAACATATCGATTAGCTGCAAGGAAATGAGGCTATTTGTAGGGTTCATCTTGAGATGATATGTCTATATATGTACACACACCTTTCATTAATAATGAATGAGGACATAGTTTGTATTTAGCCCTGTAATGATCTTTTCACTTGTATCTTTAGCCTACAACTATTTTAATTACTAAGGATTTGGTACAAAATACTGCATATTATTAAAACTATTGGATTATGGATTAACCATGTGCTTTCACAGCAATTTCATTGATTACATGCATACACTTGTATATTACCAAGAAAACTCTCAGTGAACCAATGAAAAATATCTTAAAGACTGGAGCCTTGACACACTTAAACCCAGTAACCCTATTAAATATAATTAAACCTAAATATGATTTTTTAAAGTATTATTCACTGTTGTTTCTTTTAATTCTACCAGCAGCAAAGTAAATGATAATAATATGCTTTTTCCACTATTGCTTTTTGATCATTGCAAAAGAGTATGTGAACTATACATGGAAATCATAGTCACTTCCCATTAACCTATTCTATATGGTTCATGACAAACAATATGGCTAACTTCAAGCAATAAATGAGGGCAGAGCCCTCTAGCCACATAAACTCATCAAATAAACTGATATAATGTAAATAATTAAGTCATCACCAATTGACTTTCAGCAATTATAAATTTCTTCCAACAATATTATTAGCAATAGATCAATATAAAATCTTAACAAATACCTAAGAGCCTACTTGATTCAGGCTATGAGAATTGAAGGTTGAAGAACTTTTATCAGAATAAAATTCAAAAACAGTAAGTTTTCAAAAGTCTCCTTCAAGTCATGCTCAAGTTCTTGCACTTTTCTTGAAAACTGTAAGGATGTGATTTGCTACTCTTTTTAGCAGCTTTTCCAGTAAAGGTTCCCCTCGCACATATGTGCTAGTTATTCCCGACTCTAGGGGGTGGTGCTTATCTCTATTTCAAAGCCAAAGAGCCAACACTGTCCGAAGACGTCTCCGTGGTCATGTGGCCAGCAAGACTAAATGCTGAAGGTGCAAGGGACACTGTTACCTTCCACCAAAGTGGTCCCTATTTTTCTACTTGCATTTTTATATGCTTTCGAACTGCTAGGTTGGCAGAAGCTGGGACAAGTAATAGGAGCTCACTCCATTACACGGCACTAGGGACTCGAACCGCTGAACTGCCGACCTTTCTGATCAACAAGCTCAACATCTTAGCCACCAAGCCACCACGTCCCCTCTTTTTTTCCAGCATTAATTCTTCAGCCAAGACAGTCAGACAACTGCCTGACAGATTAACAAAACCCACCCCACAAAAAAAAGAAAGAAAAGAAAATACCTTGAACAAAGTGCATGCTCAGTTACCTGTACATTTCTTTATGTTGCTATTCCTCTTTCCATGAGAGCCCAGCTTGCATCCAAAATTTTCTTCCCAAAATTCTGCAAACCACACATTCCTTCTGTTATTTGCTAGGGTTCGACTTCTAAAATATCTATCAAAACCTGAATTGAAAATACAGATATACATACATGAAGATCAGAACAGAATGCTCAATGTGACAAAGTATTTGGCCTTATATGATATGGCTCTTTCTGTATATAAACTTCCCTACTAGTGATTTGTAACATCTTACAGCATTACCCACTCAACACTAGAGCAATTTAAAGCCTGTCATTATTACTATTTCATTAATACAATGCAGAGTTTGGGAGACATCCTAAAAAAATAATGTGTCCAATTGCTGGAACAAAGGGCTGAAAAAAGTACCCTAAAATAGCATACTTTTATTCATTAAACATCGTGTTCCAGATATAAATTGAAACCAATAAGAGTAGGCGGTAAATAACTGGCATAATTCTTTGAAAAGCTTACCTTGTATTTGGTTTCCTATGTGTTTATTTAGGAAATGACTGGACATAGCTACTATACATCATCATAACTGTAATAAATTAATTCAGCAGTTCAGAGAGGTATTAAGGTATTTTTATGAGTTCTCTGTCTCAATATTTTTCGCAAAAGGCAGTTTTCATACTTTCCATTTCAGCTTTATCTTGCTTTTCTGTTACCTTTTGTTATATAATAAGTCTTAAAAAGTCTTATTCATTACTTAATGAAGCTGAACGTCTGAAAAATAATTATCTCAAGTATACATACAAGTTATAATTTTCGTGTTGCACAGTATTATCAACTCTGAGTGGTACCTGCTTACTCCCAAAAGACATCAAATTATAGAACCTTCTTTTCTTTTAATTAAACTGCCATGACTGATTCTGGAACTTTTTCTCTATATTTATTGTGTAATTTACCATAATTCTATATTGTAGCTCTTAGATCCAGTAAGCTGTATATGTAACTCTAGATATTTGTGACAGTGCCTACTGTATTATGGCAATGGGGAAAAAAACTGAACTGAAAATGGGCAGGACATGTAACTTCTTGATATAAAGATAATTAGCTGATATTAATAAATGAAAGCTACTGCGTATTTAATTAGATGGTAGATTCTTCTACAAATCATACTACTAATTTAGTATTTAGGAAATTAGTTTAAACATTCACCAGAACCATTGAGCATAGAATCTATTTTCACCAACTAGAAGATAATATCAATAAACTAATATTTGAAATAAGTAAAGGAAACTTTGAACACCGGGCTTTGGTCCCAGATCTGGGCTTAATTTTTATCATATATACATTGTTTTGTGATTCTTGGATTATTTCAGTGTGGGCCATATGTCTGGTTCTATGTTTCCAGCTCTTTTTATGGTTTGTTTGTTTGTTTGTTTGCTTAATTTTGTATACCATCCAGAGTTGAATGGGCAATCAATTTAAATAAATAAATAAGGTACAAATAGCAATGGTACAAAAATGATGTTATTGTTGTACAAGAAAGCTTCAGTTTAGTGCCATCAGTATAAATAAATTGAATTGTTTACATAATGTGTTCTCAGAATGGTCATAAATTGGATGCACAATACAGGTAATCCTCATTTAATGTCCACTGGTTCAACACTGAATGAGGGGTAATTACAAGGTCTTCTTATAGTTACAACCATCAGGGCATCCCCACAGTCACATGACACCATTTGTAACATTTACTGCTGGCTTCCAACAAGGTCAATGCGGAAGCTGGCAGGGGAATGCAAATGGCAATCACATGATCACAGGTGTCTATGACTGCATGGGATTTGGCTAGTCATAGTCACAAATTATGTTGCATCTTATAACCTTGTCACTTAGCAGTGGAATTTCCAGTGGGAATGATTTTTTTTTTACTTGATAATTATGAGTATGGGAACCAAGCAATAATGCACCTACAGAAGATAGAATGAAAATACCATTTAAAGTTATTTACTGTCATCATAAGAAACCCAGAAATGTAGGATGTACCAGAGTTACGGAAATGTATACTAGGGGCTCATCCTACTAAAGTCTTATTACACAGCCTTACCATCAATGGAAGCTCTTTTGGGCAGGATGGTGACAGCCCCTTCTGCTATTTCTTCTTGCTGATAAACAGGTGAAATTTTAGAACCCCAACTGTCTGAACCTATCCAAAGAAAATGTCCAGTTTGATTCAATTTCTTAGCAGCTTCCAGTATTCTCCTGTAAACAGTAATTTAAAAAAAAAAAGTTATTTTAAACCAACCTTTATAAAGATTCTTCCTGAAGAGTCATAAAATTAGTTATATTTATCAATTCATGAAACATTTTAAAGGAGACATGTTGGGCTTTTTGTACAAAAAGTGTATAGAAAAAAACATGTAATATTTCTGTATTTATTTGTAACATTTATTTGTTTGTTTACATTATCATATTTCTATGCAATCAAAACCATTCTCAGCAGCTTATGCAGAAAAATTACAAAATAAAGCCTACACAATACAATACTTAGAAGTATCATGGCAATGAAGCAATAGAAATTAAAAAGAAGAAAGGCTGACTGCTTTTTCATGTTTCTGTCTGCCTTCTCTATCAGTTCCAAACCAATACCTTCTCTTTTCTGCTTTATTTGTTGTCAAGTGCTGCAAGGTTATTACTAATATCTGCAGAGGAAGAGAATCTTCCATTCTTGCCATTACTTTTTGTTACCTGAATTTTCTGCTTAATTTGTTTTCTTAAACTCAGGTAGCAGCACTCGGTGAACTTTGGCTAAACCTCCAAAGCTAAGCAAGCTCAGACCTGTTAGGACATGGCTGAGTGACTTCCAGGGCAATCCAGAGGTATCAGTTATATAGGAAAGAATATCCCAAGTAAAAGCAACATTGATCCTACCACTGTCAACATAACTTCATGGACAAGACTTAAAGTCTTGAACTGAAGGGTTCATTCAAGGATTTGTTTGTTTTTTTAGTAAATATTGGGTGATTATGAAAGACACTGACTATAAAAGACACCAGAGAAGAGCCTAATGCTGGGAAAGATTGAGGGCAAAAGAAGAATGGGACAACGGAGAATGAAGTGGCTGGATGGAGTCATTGAAGCAGTAGGTGTGATCTTAAATGGACTCCAGAGTATGGTAGAGAACAGGAAGGCCTGGAGGAACATTGTCCATGGGGTCACAATGGATTGGACACGACTTCACAACTAACAACAACATGAAAGACACAATTCTTTCATAGTCACCTGAGCTTGCTTTTGAATGCTTTCATTTCAGTCTTGTACCTTCCATCGTTACTCAATTTTAATAATCTTCAAGGGAAGAGTATTAAGTGAATTCTATAGAAATGACAAAAACGCGGAGTGCCAAAGAAAATTGACCCAAAAATGTATCATTTCCCTCTAAAAGGGAAAGATATTCACCACGTTAATTTTTCTATTTTTACTGGGTCCCACTGGAGCAGGAACATTCTGTGAAAACCAAATGTTTCTGTTTTAACTTGGAAAATTGGAATGAGCAACAAAACTGAAATCTAGTGTAAGTAACATGTATAAATAAAATCATGACTTTGAATGTTAACTATTCTAGGAGAAAAAAGCCAATACCTTATATCATCTTCATTTGCAAACATAATTACAGCACGAGCATTTGCAGTCTCCATCAAGCGCTTGATAATCTTCTCAAATTCCCCTGTTCTTGGTTCACGGGGGATTTTTAGTGACTGAGCAATGCAGACACCACCTGGAGAAAAGGGATAAAAAAAGAAAAGCTGTAAAATGTAGGGTTTTTTTTAACAATCATTATGCCTACTTTACAGTGAAAATAGAAATCTGGCTTTAGAGAAAGCTACCAAGCCAAGAACAGTTAAAATGTAACTGCAATACTATACACTAGTATTGCAAATGCAATACTATGCATAATGCTTCAATTTTTTGTGAAGCTCATTGCATCTAATTTCTATTCTATCTAATGTCATTATTTATTGTATAGTGCTGAACAGTATGAATTATTAAAACAATATAGTAGGAATACATTTTTATGGCAAAAAATATTTCGATGCATACAATAAAGTGTCAAATCTGCATGCTTCTTCTGGAATCTACAGCCAGGACTACTACAATGGTTAATCACCACATTATTAATTCAGTTGTATTCATTATTCAACCATATTATTAAAGTTGTGTATAGTCATCAATAAAAGCTGTACAGTAGTTACAACTGATATACCATAAGAACAATCAAATCCATCTAAGGTTTAAAATTTCCTGTCTTCTAGTCAACCCCTTGATTCTCTGATGTCTCAACCTCCATTAGCTTGATGGTAGCATGGAACAAAGGAATAAGTTGGCTATTCTGGAGTCTCAAACAGGATCACCCGAATCATAAAATAATGCTAATTTTAATTATAAAGTCAAATATTAGAAAAATATGAATGTTTATGCTGGCAGCAGGACCCAGAGATAGTATAGTGGTAACACTACCTAACCAAGTCTCTCCTCCAGAAAAAAATGCCCTAAGATTTAAAGACTGATGAAGAATTGATTCCAGTGGATTCAGATTTCTCTCCTGACTCCTCCATCCCCTCCTCCCAAAACTGGAATAGAATAAATGACATTTAGAAAGGTTGGGCCCTTCTTCAGAATGTGTAAAATAATCATTTCAGCTTAAAAGAAATAGTTTAACAAAATACCTTGTATAGCATAGCCGGTTTTAAAATAACTAAGCTGTACACTTATATTAGCATGCTGTATATAACTCAACATCTCTGCAGAGAATTTTTAACACTTTTTAAATGGCTAAAGCAATAAATTCTCATGCTAAAACGAAAGTTGCTCAGCTAAGCCAAGCATGGGAAAGAGTTACAATGACTTCACTTACAACCTTAGCTGGCTTCAGCAGAGGTATGACAAAATGAAAGGAAAGGAACAATAATATTCCCACTTTGCATGAAGTAATATTTTGGAGGGGTGCCTGTGCGGAGACAGGTGTGTGTGTGTGTGTGTGAGAGAGAGAGAGAGAGAAAATAGAGAGACAGACAGACAGAGAGACAGACAGACAGAGAGACAGA